TGGGAGCGGGGGTTGGTTCTGGGAGGGGAATTGTACGTGGGTTTCCTAGCCTGCTAGTTTCAGCGGGCAGCTGTACTCCCTTATGAGTCCCTCAGCCAGGCCTCATAAGTGACATAGTCCTTGGGTATCAAGCAAATCAAGGAATAAGCCAATAAAACCAAACCCTTCTGCCTTATCCTGGCACTTGAGGAAGGGCCTTCGGGCACTGACTCCTAGCACAACAGCCCAGGCCACTTGTTTAACATGCAGCTATAGTCACTGCTTGCTTCCTCCTCTCAACCTGTCCCTTCACAGTCTTCTTCCTTGGCCTTTTCCTCTGGGGTCTTTAAACTGGCCTCATTATCAGAAGACTCACAGCTGACTGCTCCTTAAGGGGACAGAGCACTCCATTACAGAAATACTGGCTAATGATTAGAACAGGAGGTCATAAGCAATGCTTGGTTCTACCCAGACCCTGACTGGGGCAGATTAGTAAAGGCCCCAAGTAATTCAAGAGGCAGTAATTTGGGTGTCTCCATCCCTAGGTGCCTGGCTGAAGACCAAACATTTACAACAAAAGGTACTAAGGGAAAGAACAGCAGTGAACAAGCCAAGAAGAGCTCAGTGGCTTCAGGCAGCAGCACATGCTTACTTGCAGACATGCACATACAGCAGTCGCCTTGCTATGGCTGTAGCCAGCAGCAACTTAGATTTTTAAATGACCGCAAGGTGCACGTATCCTGCCTGAGTGACAGACAGGCAACTCCTGGACTAGCCTACAATGGAAACCAATCCCCAACTTCACAATACCCTGCAGGAAACCAATCATATAATCTACCTTCAGCATATATTTTACTGCAGTCACAAGGCAGCTTTGGAGAGATTCCACTGGGTAAATATTTTAACCTGCTTGTAACTCACCAATAAAAGAACTTACATGAAAAGGATTTATAGCCAGGTCATGGTTCTGGCCCTTTTTTTTTTTTTCTTCAAAATTGCTGCTAATAAAATTTTTCCAAGATGAAACAGTAAGGGGGAAAAATGACAGCTCCCTGGTAGTAATATAAACATCTAATCTCTTTATTTTAAAAAGTGGGGCTTCTACAGGAGAAGCCAAGTGACAACATCCAGAGATAAGGACACGTCAAGAGAATTTTGAGCAACACAGATGAAAACGGAGCAGCCTGTCTCAGACAGCCACGGTTAAATGAGGTTTGGGGCACCCACATTACAATAAACTTTTAGGGCAGTGATTCTCAACTGGGGTGACACAAGATCCTGCCAAGGATGTTGTGATGCCAGCCCCAGTGCCAGGAGGCAAGCAATCACTCCTCTTCTCTCCCGGTGCTGGGCACCCCAGCATCCCACAGACAAGCAGTGCCTGTGGCTGCTTCCTACCCCCTGGCAGCTTTCATGCCAGCCCCAGTGCTCCCAGCAGTCTTCTGTGCTGCACGTGCATGCATGAGCAGATAGGTAGTCAAGGGACTAGGAGCAATGGACAGGACTAGGAGCAATGGCCTCAAGCTGCATCAGGGCAAATTTAGGCTGGAGATCAGGAGGAAATTTCTGACTGTGAGAGTGCTCAGGCACTGGAAGCTGTGGATTCTTCCATGCTTGGAAACCTTCAAAAGCAGGTTAGAAAGCTATGTGCCTGGGGTGGTTCAGTCACGGATGATCCTGCCTTGAGCAGGGGGCTGGACTAGATGACCTTATTGGGTCTCTTCCAGCCCAGCCTGTCCCCCATTCCTCCTCCCCTCCTCTCATGCTCCTGGGGCCAGCAGGAGGGGTCATGGGTATACATGGCTCTGGTTGTCAGCATTCAAGTCCCCAGTAAAACACCACGTGCCCCCTCAGGTACAGGTATAGGCTGGGAGGAAGCAGATGGTGGGAATGCCAGTTGGGAGCGGGGGTTGGTTCTGGGAGGGGAATTGTACGTGGGTTTCCTAGCCTGCTAGTTTCAGCGGGCAGCTGTACTCCCTTATGAGTCCCTCAGCCAGGCCTCATAAGTGACATAGTCCTTGGGTATCAAGCAAATCAAGGAATAAGCCAATAAAACCAAACCCTTCTGCCTTATCCTGGCACTTGAGGAAGGGCCTTCGGGCACTGACTCCTAGCACAACAGCCCAGGCCACTTGTTTAACATGCAGCTATAGTCACTGCTTGCTTCCTCCTCTCAACCTGTCCCTTCACAGTCTTCTTCCTTGGCCTTTTCCTCTGGGGTCTTTAAACTGGCCTCATTATCAGAAGACTCACAGCTGACTGCTCCTTAAGGGGACAGAGCACTCCATTACAGAAATACTGGCTAATGATTAGAACAGGAGGTCATAAGCAATGCTTGGTTCTACCCAGACCCTGACTGGGGCAGATTAGTAAAGGCCCCAAGTAATTCAAGAGGCAGTAATTTGGGTGTCTCCATCCCTAGGTGCCTGGCTGAAGACCAAACATTTACAACAAAAGGTACTAAGGGAAAGAACAGCAGTGAACAAGCCAAGAAGAGCTCAGTGGCTTCAGGCAGCAGCACATGCTTACTTGCAGACATGCACATACAGCAGTCGCCTTGCTATGGCTGTAGCCAGCAGCAACTTAGATTTTTAAATGACCGCAAGGTGCACGTATCCTGCCTGAGTGACAGACAGGCAACTCCTGGACTAGCCTACAATGGAAACCAATCCCCAACTTCACAATACCCTGCAGGAAACCAATCATATAATCTACCTTCAGCATATATTTTACTGCAGTCACAAGGCAGCTTTGGAGAGATTCCACTGGGTAAATATTTTAACCTGCTTGTAACTCACCAATAAAAGAACTTACATGAAAAGGATTTATAGCCAGGACATGGTTCTGGCACTTTTTTTTTTTTTCTTCAAAATTGCTGCTAATAAAATTTTTCCAAGATGAAACAGTAAGGGGGAAAAATGACAGCTCCCTGGTAGTAATATAAACATCTAATCTCTTTATTTTAAAAAGTGGGGCTTCTACAGGAGAAGCCAAGTGACAACATCCAGAGATAAGGACACGTCAAGAGAATTTTGAGCAACACAGATGAAAACGGAGCAGCCTGTCTCAGACAGCCACGGTTAAATGAGGTTTGGGGCACCCACATTACAATAAACTTTTAGGGCAGTGATTCTCAACTGGGGTGACACAAGATCCTGCCAAGGATGTTGTGATGCCAGCCCCAGTGCCAGGAGGCAAGCAATCACTCCTCTTCTCTCCCGGTGCTGGGCACCCCAGCATCCCACAGACAAGCAGTGCCTGTGGCTGCTTCCTACCCCCTGGCAGCTTTCATGCCAGCCCCAGTGCTCCCAGCAGTCTTCTGTGCTGCACGTGCATGCATGAGCAGATAGGTAGTCAAGGGACTAGGAGCAATGGACAGGACTAGGAGCAATGGCCTCAAGCTGCATCAGGGCAAATTTAGGCTGGAGATCAGGAGGAAATTTCTGACTGTGAGAGTGCTCAGGCACTGGAAGCTGTGGATTCTTCCATGCTTGGAAACCTTCAAAAGCAGGTTAGAAAGCTATGTGCCTGGGGTGGTTCAGTCACGGATGATCCTGCCTTGAGCAGGGGGCTGGACTAGATGACCTTATTGGGTCTCTTCCAGCCCAGCCTGTCCCCCATTCCTCCTCCCCTCCTCTCATGCTCCTGGGGCCAGCAGGAGGGGTCATGGGTATACATGGCTCTGGTTGTCAGCATTCAAGTCCCCAGTAAAACACCACGTGCCCCCTCAGGTACAGGTATAGGCTGGGAGGAAGCAGATGGTGGAAACAGCAAGGCATAGTGGGTTGAAGGCCTGCCTCCACCCCCACCTCACCTGAAACAAGCTAGATTCTAGCTCAGTGGTTTTCAGCAAGCATGCCTCTAAGTTTGGAAAAAAATTATGAAGGGGTGGCTTGAGACTAAAAAGGTTGAGAACCACTGGGTTAGGGTTTGACCCTGTCACTGTTGGAGTAGGAACGTAAGATGTGCCACACTGGGTCAGACCACAGGCCCATTTGGCTTGGTATCTTCTCAGTGGTAGAGTGGTTCATCCCCTACCTGTCTCCCCCTGGTTGTGGTTGTGGCTTCCAGCAGATCACTAATAATAAATCACTTGTGAGTGGCTTATCCAAGTCACTCACAAGTGCCAGTAAAACCTCGATATTGCCGTATACCACATTCTTCCTGATTCAGAGAGCTGGGAAAGTCAACAAAAGCTGAGAATACCGTACAGCCAGCAGATGGGTGACTTATTAGGTAACACAGCCAGTGCTCACAACTCTAAGAGCTCTCATTGAAGCAAGGGCAGGGGCACTGTGGAATTGCACAGGGATGCCTTAGTAAACTGGCCAAGCTGCAGCTTAGGGTGCAGCCTTAAACTAGGGGCTCCCAACCTTTCCATGCTGCAGCCCGGCAAGCTGTGGACTGGAAGCGGCTGCAGCTGCGGCCCAGCAAACTGTGGACGACTGCGCACAGCCCCGCGGCTGGAATTTCTGGCCAGAATACAGGTAAAGGTACTTCTACCCCCTGGGCAGGGGGGTAGACCAAACCTCAACCATGGGCCCTGCGGGAAGAGTTGCAGCCTCTCTGCCAGGCTCAGCAGGGCCACGGTTTGCCGGTCCACAATCACCTCTGGTCCAGCAGCCAACGCTTAGAGGCTCCTCATAATGTAAGGCCCTAAGCTATAGTTTGCTTAGCTTGTGCCTAAATCCGGCACTGCTGCAGCACCCAGTTTTTCCATCAACAGCTGCACTGCGGTGGGGCAGGAGGACACTATGGAGTACAACCAGAGTGAGACAACTTCCCATGAAGTGTACTCCATGTCCCTGATGACTCTCACCTGCTACCTCAGCAACTGTGTATTTGCACACAAAGTGTTTGACACAAGGCAGGTCCTATAAAGACATGCTACGAACATAGATTTGTTTTTTTGGTGTAGACCGATATTTGGGTTTGTCAACGCTTTGGACAGAGTACTTGATGGGATGATACAAAACACACAAATTAATAATTATTACTAATAATACTAACAATAATATCAATAGGATCTTTGTCCCAATGTCTTTGGCCCAAGTTCCTTCTCTCTCCCCTATTTTGGAATAAGTTGGGAGCAGGTTGATCATAGCCTTCCACTCAAGAGCTAGCTGCATTTCACTGGCTCTGTACATCGTTTGTATGTAGTTTCAATGCACTTTAAACACATCTGGGAGGAAAGGCAGTGTATAAATATACACTATGCATTATAAGTATACATTATAAGTTTGTTCTACCAGGCAACAGTAACTTTTAACTTAATTTTCTCTCATTAAGTTAGCCACCAGAGGGAGCCATTATAGCTTCAGAAATACTGAACAGAGTCATTAAGAGAAATTGCTTACAGATTTCAGAACTGCAGCTGCTGGGTTTAAGATACCCCTCTTGGCTCTGGTCTTTTGCCTTCAGGTGAATGTCCTCTGCACAAAGGCTAATGTTTCCCAAGGCATCCAACAAATGCAGAATCTTCACAGCTGAGCTCAGTGATGGTTTGCAAGAAGGGGAAAAGGTCTGCTCCTTGTCCTGCCTCATCCACTCAAGGAATGACGATGTTTTTCAGGAACTGAAATTTGCTTCTGAAACAGCAGGTGCTGCAAAGGGAAAGAATTGACCATGTGAAATACCAGGTGAGCAGCAAACATTGTCTAAGGCACATGTTTTCAGTCCTAGCAAGCAGTGGGTCCTAGTCCTTTTACAGTCTCACCAGGACTATTTCATTCAGTGCTGTTTTTCTAATTAAGGCCCCAGTCCTGAAATTATTTTAACCTATACTAGTATTAACAGGCCAACTGATGTCAGCCAGTACCATTCACATATTTAATGTTACAATTAAGCAACTAAGCACGTGGTTTTCTGGGATTGAAACCTGTCTTTTTTTTCCTTTGCAGTTCTCATTTTAGATGCCTGCATGTCTGCCATAATCTGAACTTCCTTTAGTGAGTGGTATCTATGAAAATTATGACATATCAAGCTGAGAAATTAAGAGCTCTGGTAATTAAACTCCTTGGCTAAGTACAGACGGTCAAAACACCTGAGGATGAATCAATTCAATCTTCACAGATTTATTTAAACTGTGTAGATTGAACCAATAAGCAAATAAACAGACGTTCACTTTTGACTTCAGAAGTGCAACCATATGCCTGCAGTAGCCAAGGCTAGAAGCTAAGGGGCCCAAGAGCATATCTCCCTACTGAGCTGGAGCAGACAGCTTGGACCAAGACTAGGCCACCCACCCGTTGTGGGGGGGTTTATAAGGGAGATGCAAAGTAGCCTGGGATGCTAGGGGACTCTGAGTTGACTTGAATCTGGTGGGTATCTGGGACAGAAGTTCAATACACTGATTTAATCTAAATCAGTTAAGTGTGATACTACATCCATCCAGGTTATCTTAAACCAGTTTTGGCCATTTTGAAAGTGATTTATGTGCACTGATTTCTCATGTTGTAGATTTGAACCAGTTTCCGATCACTTATACCAGCTTGTGTGCAATTTCTGTCCCTAGTTTGAGGTTTCTCCAGTTGAGGTATGAAATTTAGCCAGCAGATGGCCTCACTCTACATTTATCATCCTACATAACACCCAGAGGTAAGTAGCCATGTTAGTCTGAAGGAGAGAGAGAGATCCACAAAGTTAAATGTTGACTCTCAGATCACTGCATTTAACTTCCCTAAAATCAATGGTAAAATTCAACTCGCAGCAGGATGCATTGAAAGCTGACTTTCAATGGCCTTTAAATCCAGCCTTACTACAAAACACCCCATGGTTAGTAAGTTGTGATCATGTCTCTATGCATGTACAAGTGAAAGAACTTACTCCCTTGTAAGTGAATCAGTGTAACAAGCTGGGCATTCTCTTCTGCAAGGATGGTTTGGTTGCAGTCCTGTCTCATCTTCATAGTTTTAAAAGATAATTATTATCTATTTAAACAAGTAGCATGTAAGAGCCATAACCAAGATGCAGGCCCAGTTTTGGAAGGCAGCCATAAAATGGACAGTGCAAGAAAAGAGGCAACAGGATTCAGACAGATTAGGAGACAGCATAGAACAAGCGAGGCAGGACTGCTGTAATAAAAAGTGGCCACAGAACCCCAGCCCTGCAGCTATATTGTCCACCATTAGCAGCACAGCTCTACAAAGCAACAGTCTCTGAATGGCATAAAAAGGCCTTCTAGGAGCCCAAAAAAATTGTGGGAGAAGAGGTCCAACTCATAAATCCCTGAGGAGACTCCCATCTGTTACTTTATCATTTGCCAGAACTCCTTTCCAGTAAGCAGGGTAAAAGTTGCTCTCCGTCCTTACTTGGCAAGAACTATTTCTCTTGCCATCTGTGTAGCAGGGGTTGGAGGCAGCTGTGATGAGTCAAGACCTGTGGAGAGCAAGAGAGAAAAACCAGAAGCTTACAGAGTTGTTTTTTTTTCTTGCCTCCCAGTACCCTCCAGTCCCTGGGTGGAGTGCTGTTGTGGATGAAGACCAAGACAGCTGGCTAGCAGGACCTATCTGTTCTGGGATAAGCATCAGGACACATATCACTTTATACAAGGAGGGAGATTTAATTGTACCCCTGTGGTGAGACTACTCCAATCCTATACTTCCAGGCCAGCAGAACACACTCACTGCTCCCTGAGGGGGAAGAAAGCAGTATTTGCTCTGTAAAAGTTGGGTAGGTCTTGAATAATTTGGGCACCTGTTTGTAAGCAGGGAGTCTATGGTAGGTGGTGCTGGGATGGATGTGCGTGAGGACAAAGTAGTGAGGTATACATGATTGAGACAGCCAGAGTGTCAGAAATCACAGACGTGTGGGATTTTGACATTTGGGATTCCCCAACCCACAGAAGAAATTGCTTAGATTCACTGTGGTGGGATCCTGAGCATGTACATGGAGGAAGCTGGAGAGAGCTATCCATCAACATACCATGGCACTTGCAGTACGTTTTGTAGTGATTATAATGTGTGCATAATGTGCGACCAAAGAGGTAACTTCTACACTGAACAGCAGAGGAAAGAGGACATGCAACAGCCTGTATATAACCAGCCCAATGAGTTGTTACACCAGAAAGTGTTGCTTAGCAGTGTAAAGCAATTGGCATGCTGCTCAAAGAGGAAGTACAGACACATTCAGGCCCTGATGGGAACCTGGGCTGGATCCACGGAATAAATATTATCGCTTGTTTTTTATTAGGCAGTGCTGACAGCCACACAAGTGATGGGTTTCTCATTGTATAATGTATATAATTTTTAATTATCTCTTTCGATTTGTTTGATGAGGGCATTCACAGACAAGCAATACCTATTGTATTGACATAGCTGTTATAACTGGAAATTGCATTTCTGTACTTTAAAGATAGTGGGATTATACTCTTGATGATTTGCTGATAAAGTTTCTGTGCACATTATCCATCAAAGAGTCTTCACTAACTTCCTTTACCACATAATGCATTGCAGTTTCAATCAATAATTTCTGTAAAACAGCAACTGGAAAATACCTTTCTAGAGAACAGACTATCACACTGCCATGGTTAACACACAGTTCAATAGCACACATTCCTAAGAATAGGTCTTAATCTGAATTTCAATTTCATGGTATGGCAAAGGTGTTGATATATAAAGCGACTGGCAAGACAGGAAGCCCTGGCTTATTAATTTAGGCCAGATCACATCAGATATAATTACAAGGGCATCTAATCAAATGGAAAAGGAGAGAGATGCAATTATTCTGAGAAGAAGCAAGTTGTTTCCCATCATAATGAAAAGGTTAATTACTATGATAGTTGGAAAATATTGTCTGTTCTTCCTCACATTTTTATCTTGAGTTTTTCACTTGCTTGTAATTACTTCTTTTCCAGGAGCAAATCCAAGATCCAGGCCCTCCACTGACAAAGATGCTTAGCTAACACAATATAGGGAGAAACTGGGGGGACTTGGCATCTGAAGGGCTGGTTAAGGGCTCAACTGTTGCACATCAGGACTCTCCTCTTTGCCGTTTAAATAGATGGGAGCTGCCAAAGCATGGCCATTGAGAATGGAAATTAAGAGAATCATGGTCACCAACTAACTGTACACCTAGCTCTCCTTCATTTTAGGAGGTTCAGTTCATTGCATAAAATATCTTATGAGTACACCATCTAGACAAAGATGTCTAATGACCTGATGCTAACACCAGCTCTTACACTGCGCTTTTCGTCTCTAGATCTCAGAGCTCCACAGGAAATGAAAGCTTTAGGGCATTAGCCCCATGTTACAGCTGGCCAGAGAGAAAGCTGGAAATGGAGCACAGGTCTCCTGAATGTCAGTCCATTGCTCTCGCTGTGACAGCTGCTTTATGAATATGACGGCTGCCTTCAAAGACCACTGGGAACTGAACCAGTATCCTCCAGAGCTAAAAGAATGATCAACTACAGCTTGAAATAGCCAAGCCTGTATAGGAAGGGGTTGTGAAAATCTATATCCTCTGTGGGTCAGTGCAAGGGGTTCTTCTCCCACGTTCATTAGTTGGTTACATATCTAGTAACAAGGGGAAAAAGTAAAGTACTTATTCTTCTAAGATTGCATTCTGAATCCTGAACCAGAATGACTGTGTGTGAAAGCAAAACCACCAATATACTGTCACAACCCAAAGGGTGTGATTTTTGTTTTTGTGTGCGCTTTGGCACCACTGAATTATTTTCCCACCAAATTGTAGCTTTCTTTGCAGGGTGCATTTCTTCTTTGCAGCTAGGAATTGCTTGGTGCAAAGAGTTCCCGCCATCTGTATGATAATTCGAGCCCCATTATTGGATTGAGTTAAATTATTCCCACGTGGCGGCTAGTGATTGGCTTGCTAGCCATATAAAAAGCTTGAGTGGCTTCCACCCAAGTTGGAGAACTTGGAGACCTCCGAGGAGAACCCCCGCAAGGGAGGACTCCACGAACACCAGGAGGAGGAGACTTCACACAGTGTGAAGATCTCTAAGCGCTGCGGAGCCTATTGGACCCAGCGCATTTCAAGCAGGCAACAGGGGTCTGATCAGCCTCTAGCCTCTCCCCGTCACCGAGCGCAAACCTCGACGTATCCCTCTTCCTGCACGCAAAAAAGGACCCATGGAGCCTAGCAAACTTCGTGCGAGTGAATTGTGAGTGAACAAAAGGATCCACGGAGCCTTGACAACTCCGTGGGAGTGATCCGAGTCTTGTCTGAGTCCTCAAACGAGGATTTAAGCGGAGCTGTGCCTGGGAAACTGTCCAGCCTACACCGCGACCATCTTCGGTGTAAGTAAACAATCTTGAATCAACCATTACGCGTCCGTGCCTAATTCCAGCGTGTCGCCTGTTCTCTCCGACCTAGCGAGCCCGGGCTGCTGGCCACAGCCCGCGCAGCGCAAAAAAGGGCCCGGATCGCTCCCTGCCGCCCGCACATGGCGACGAGGATGGGATCTGGAGATGGCCCGCACATATACTCCTAGCCATCTGCAAATCCAGTTCAGGATAGAGATGCCTGCATAATCTCCCCCCACGCAGGGCCACACAGAACGAGGTGTCAGTGTGGTGGGCACTAACAAAACTAACTTTGCTTACAAAGTGAAAAACCTCCTTTGCAAAAAGATTTGTATGGTTAAGCTAAATTGTTTCCTGCATCATTGGCTGTGAATAGAGAAGGATTAATCTGTTTTGCTGCAGCTTTAAATCAACAAAATGCTGTTTTTAACTAGATGTTTCTCCCGAGGGTTTGTGACAGTTGCACGAATGCTGTGTGACTGCTCTGTGGAAGTAAATTTATTCAAAATGCTCTGGTAAATTTCTGGCAGTTTGGAGGACTCTCCCAGTCAGAACACATGCACAGGGAAGAACAACAGGTAAGCCAGCAACAGTAGAATAGTAACGTAATTCAGGCTAGCATGCTGCACAAGCAGTATTGACAGGAATGCTTACAAACCAGAGAATGCAATGGCTGTTTGAGGAATACAATAATAGCCATATTATCTAAGCCAAATAAACCCTTTCCTTATTGTTGATTAAATAGCTGCTCTCTCTCTAGTTGCGAAGGCTGGTAATAGAGAAATGGAACAAGTAGCAGCTCAAAAAGGCACTTACTGCTTTGAAGAGATAATTGGTCAATCAATCATTTCAAGTGGAACTGTACAGGGAGTAAGTTTATTTTCTTCAATACAGGAAGGATGTTGTGAAATCATAAGAGCTTGTCAAATATTTGTTTCTTGTACAATGCATATGATCCTAATGTTGTGCATCTTTAGCAACCTTATGAAGTTTTTGAAATGTTGTAATTTTCTTTACTGTGGTCACCTGACCAAAAGAAAGGAATTGATTTTGATTTAGTGTCTGTTCCTTAATCCAAATTAACTATTTTCCCCAAAAACAGAATCAGCCGATTACAAATCTATGAAGTTATGCTAGGCAACGCAAACTATGCCCCCAACCAAAGCACGCACTGTTATCCCTGTACCAATGCCAGTGGCCAACACCCAACTACAGAGCGCCCCAGAATTATCCCTGCTGCTCTCTCGCAATGCTTTTCAGCTGGCACTCATGAGATTCCAAAGTGATAATGGAATAAACTTACTGTCCAGGCTCAAGGGCAATGCTTTAGTCCCAACATGAAACAAATACACTACATACAAAATTAGCACTTACACTAACAAACTTATGTAAAAAATGTGACTGAATCTATGCAGTTGTGTCTAATATTAAATTATCATTATTAAATTGGTAGAGGATAGTGCAAACACCCTATTCAGCAATGCCCATATACTGTCTAACTCAGTGGGTCTCATTTTTTTGTACCAGTCCAGGACCCATTTGTAAACATAAATGGCCACTCCCAACCCACTGGCCCCCATCCCTAGGCCCCAGCCCCAGTTTGTGGAGCAGGGGGTGGGTGTGTGGGGCAGGGGGGTGGGAGAACCAAGCAGCCCATTGCAAGCTGGAACTCTGCCACCCTGCAAGGGAAAAGCCAGTTTCCCATGTTTTTCTTCCTTAAAGGACAATCCATTTCTTAAATTTGTTGATCCATTTTTGAAGTTTGTTCACACCCCTTTCATATACTTTGTGACCCACTTTTGGGTCATGACCCACGGGTTCGGAAGGCTGGCTAACTGACAGGACAGGGTAAGAGGACTTCTCAAGGCAGCCCTCCAAGTCCCTCCGTGGACTTGCTGATGTTCCTATGCCTCTTGCAGCCTCACCATCATTAGAAGGCATCATTTTCATGATGAATTTGGCTTCCTCCCCCCACTTCAATCCCCACCACCAAGATGCAAGCATTTTGCTTTGCCCCACACACTACTCTGAAACCTAAGCATTTCCAACAGTGGTGCATAGCGTTCTGCTTCTCCTATTTAGTTTCTACCTAAGAATTACAGGACTGAAGACCTATGCTTTACACTCTCTTAGGGTGTTTGTACATATGGCAAAAATGTCATTTGTGTGGCTTAACAGCATTATACAATACTTGTGCACCAGTTTGGGGGGTTTTAAATGAGTTTGCATCATTGTAAGCTAAACTGCATCCTGATGTAGTTTAATTTGCAACTTTGCTGTCAGCTTGCCCCCCCCAGCCACAAGAGAAGCAGGCAGGCTCCACAGAAAAAAAGGATTGGGCCCTTTGCGGCTCCTGCCGAAGGCAGAATTGGTGAGGGGTCCAATTCTTTTTTGGGTTTTTTTTCAGAGGAGCCTCCCAAGCTCTCCCGCATCGGTGGGGGGGCAGCTGCCAGTAGGCCAAACAGGTCCTGAGCTGCAGGGGGTCCTGGTCCTTCCCTCTGCAGTAGCAGTACCCCCTGCAGTTGCCTGAGCAGGCTGCTAGCAGGCTGGGTGCTGCCCCAGCTCAGAGGCAGCACCCAACCCAATCCAACTTTTCTCCAAGCCTGCGTGCTGGAAGCCCTCTGGGCACTGCTCCCCAGGTGGCCTTGGGGAGGAGTTGAATTGGCCCGGGTGCTGCCTCTGACCTGTGGCAGTACCCAGCCCACTAGCAGCCCACCTGGGTGGCCCTGGGGTTGCTGCCACCATGGAAGGGCGGGCCAGGGGCCCCCCTACAGCTCAGAAGCTGATCAGCTCACCAACAGCTGGCCCACCAGCTGCAGGCAGACTCCAGCTCTGCCAAAAAAACAAAAGAAAGGATCAGGCCCCTTGCCACAATGTGACAGAAAAACTGAATTGGTGGGTTTCAATTAAAAATCCACCATTTCAATTTAGGGGGCACAGAGTAAAATCCTGAGGACTAAACCACCGTCACGTGTACAAGTGCCCTTAGCGTAGATCCCGCTACCACATATTTTTTTCCCCCAAGCCAGATGTGCAGTTCCTCTGCTAGTACAAAAGTGTCAGAGATCTCTGCAGTCCTCCATTTATTATTTGACAGGAGAAATGTTTTCTGTGTCTTCCTGCTCTTAAGTTAGTCATTCTTTCATCATCTCTAAGAACTTATCTGTTAATAGCACAAGTGCTTAAATAGAGCTCATGGTCCTACACAGCAGATTGCAAGGGGCTTACTTCAAAGTCCACTGGAGTCCGTGGAAACACTCACCTATTATACTGTGAATCAAGCTCTGGGCTTTACATACAGGAGATATCAGAGAACACTGTGCAAACCATCCCTGAACACAACTTTTTCCAGTCCTATAATTAGCTAAGACACAACAGATTTTAAAGGACTAGCCCCTCTCGAACAGAGGACCTACCTTATGTCTTCCAATTCTTCACCACTTACTACTCCTTGAATTGGAGTTGTGCAAAAGGTATCCACAGGCAGAGGTTTCATAGAGGCACCTGGGCTTTCTGTATGCTGCAAAAGAGGTCTCCAGGCTGGCTTTATACAAGCTGTTACAGAGAACATGCAACAACATGTCATCTATGGCAGCACTGAACCAATGTGGAGAAGCTCCTCCAGCCCATAACAACAACCTCCATCAACATACATCTCAGCTGCTTTGTAAAACATGCCTGTCCTGGTCCTGCAATGGCCATATGGTTACCCTTGCCCATTTTAAACATTCATGATGTCAAGAAAACAAAAGCACTATCTCCCTAATGGCTGTGTCCATGCTACATTGCACCTTTCAAAGGCAGCACTGTCTCAAGATGTAATTATATTGTTCATACCTAGACTTTATTATTACCTTCCTCAAATTCAAGAGAAAAACCCAAAACAAAACAAAAAACAACACAAAAAAAAAGACTTTCCTCAAACTTTCTGTTCCAGAATCATTCACCAGCTGGAGAGAGTTAGGCATGTAAAGGTGACCTTGTAGTGAATGTTAAACATTTGTGGGAAAAGAAGGTTCTAACAAGCTGGTTTGCAACCTTCGGTAAAATGAGCACAGTTTAGCACCCCAATGCATTGCCATGCTTCAGCAGACAAGAACCCTGAGCAGCTGGAAATAACTTCAGAATATAAATGCTAGGAGTTTAAATCAATGTTGCCCTGTGTTGAAAGGGACATACATCAGCACAAGAGCTGTAATTAGTAAAACTGCAACAATTATAAATCTAATTGCCTTTTCAGCTCTGATTAAATTTGTTTCCCATCCATCAGGGACCATGCTAACGGCCGAATCACTTTCACTTTACAAGATTTGTATTAGACACCGCAAGGGGAGTTTCAAATCCAAACCAAAACCACTTCAACAGAAAAACTTTTTTTTTAGGATAGTAAAAACTATAGCATAGTACTAAAGGACATATAACAGACATTCATAAAAGGCAAATTAAATCTTTCCCTTACAATGTCTTCATTTAAGGAGAGTCGTTCCTGGTAAGCAATGCCACGTGCTGTATCACTGGGTGAACCCAGACAACATAGCTCATCGTTCCAATGTTTCTGACAGAAGTAAAGCTCAGCAATTGTTCTCCTGTTTTATCAGGTGGGGGTTTGAAGCAGAGAACGCTTTGCAGTGCAGAAACTAGTGATGAAGACAAATGTTTTGAGAGTGTGGTATGTGCCTGTGTTGGTGCTGTGTCTGAATGCAGCTGAGGATTTCCAATGGACAAAGAATAACCCGGGCTCCTTCTATTATGGCACTTTCCCAGCTGGTACTTTTCATCTCTAGCTGTTTGTGGTTTTATAGTATTTTTGTCTCATTGATGTTTTTGTACAAGAAACTTGGTAAAAGATTGTCGTTTGGAAGGAAAACATAGGCACAGCGTCAAGCCTTGCAGGGGAGAGGGAGAAGGCAGATGGGAAACTCCAGGGTCACCATAGCCTCTTGCAGAATATACATTCATGCATTCCATTGCTCTTTGCCATAGGAGTGCACTTGGGTGTAGATATTCATGCTGCAGCAAAATGGTACATACTGATTTGAGTGTTTCACCCCCAGGGTTGCCCCTGCTGTATGGGATCAGGCAAGGGGCAGGGGTAGGGTGCTCCAGAACCTGGAACTCATCACTTCTGATAAATCATTTACAACAAATTTAGAAACATGGGGCTACACCTTAAAATACCCCTCTCGTACTCACCCAGCTCAGCTAGGTGTATCTGAATGTCACAAAAGGAGGGTGGCTTTTTGCATGCTCTAAACCACATTTTATTTCCTGTTTAATATTGTCTTTTGAAAAAACTGCCTCATCTGTCAGAAATACATACAAATAATTAAAATGTTCTTCTTTTAAAATGTTCCAGACTGAATAAAAAGCTTGTATCTTAAAGTGCTTTGTGGATATTAATTAATTACCTACTGGAGAAAGGCACTGAACGACCAGCTGTCTCCACTTTGTCATTGGTGTGTTTGTTTATTGCTACCTATAGGTTTTTTATGGGGTGCCGGCAGTTCTGCCTACCAAACTGAAGGGGCTTGGGAGGAGGATGGAAAAGGACCAAGCATCTGGGATGTTTTTACTCATAAAAAGGGAAAAGTGTACAAAAATGACACAGCAGATTCAGCATGTGAAAGCTACTACAGAGTGAAGGTATGATTAAAAAAGAAGAAATTCTGTTTCTATATTATGGGTATCCAGCAATCATTAGTAACAGTTTTTATTATGCAGTTCCAATTAGCAGCAAAATGAAAGTTGTATCATTCTGATGCTCTTGACATTTGTAGTTAAGACTATAACCCGGCCTGTGAAGCCATGAACTGGTGTTTGCAACTACAGCCAGGTGAAATTTTAGGCCAAATTTTTGTTCTGCAAAAAAATGCAGCTCTAGCAATACTTAAATAGTTCACAGTTTTATCTCCATTTTCCTGAATTGTTAATGCCAAAAGGAAACCCCAACTTGTTTAAAAAGTTGAAATGTTTAGCTTCAATATATAAACTTGTTGGATTCAAAGCGACTTTATTTTGAACTCACACTTCAACAAACAATGAGTGAGCTGAGGCACCTTCCTGTTGTTGTCAACAAGGTTTATCTGGGATGGTGAGGGAAGAGGTAGGATTTCAAACATGTCCTCACTGGGCGCTTGTACACATGACAAGGGGTTAGTCCCCTAAATTGAAATGGTGGGTTGTTAATTGTGAGGATTAAAAACCCTCCATTTCAATCTAGGGGCTTCCGTCACTGTTACAGTGAGGGGCCTGATCCCCTGGGTGGCCCCGGGGGGTGCTGCCACCGCAGAGGGAAGGACCAGGACCCCTGCAGCTCAGGGGCCCTGCCAGCAGCTTGCCCCCCAGCTTCAGGAGAAGCGGGCAGACTCCATGAAAAAAAAAAATCAGGCCTCTCGCTGCTTCTGCCTTCAGCCTGCTTTCCCACAGCCGGGAGGCGAGCTGTCAGATTAAAGGCTGGAACATTACAAGTAGCTATGCTGCAAATTAAACTAGGTGGGGATGTGGTTTAGTTTGCAACGTAAGAAACTCATTTAAATCGCACCCCCCCATACATGTAATATGTGACACAAACCACAAAAACGGGCAATTCTTTGTCACATATACAAATGCCCACTGTGTCCTCTCAGCTCTCGCTAAGGAGCACTACGCTGTCAGCTCCCTGCTTGGAATCCCACCCCAAAGCACAGAACTGTACTATACCGGGAGGTCAGGCCTCTGGATTCTGTTCCAGGGGCAGGTGCCTAAAAGCTAAACCCTACGAGGCATCAAAGCCTTTTAGGGACTCTAACAGTAAATGAATTGCCCAGTGCAATCTGTGGCAAAGCAGGGAGTGGAATCCAGATCCAGCCTCACCACAGAACCATCTTTTGGTTCTCTCGCTCATTTTCTGAGAGAGGGTATAGCGTATAAACATCACCGGTAACAGCGTTCACTTTTCTTCTTACCCAATGTAATATTTAATCTCCTGTTTATAATTACATGAAATAATAATTCCCAAAGTGGTATTTTTTGCTGAGTCTGCAACAATCCCTCTTTAATATTTACCCATTCCTGAATATTTATGCAGTCTGGCACCTTATAAACCAACTTGTTCAGAGGACCATGAGCTTTCATAATCTACAGCCTACTTTGTCAGATGCTATGAATGAACTAATGCACATTACATTACATTGTGCTATATGTTGTAATGCCATTCCTAGTAATATATGCTCGCCCAGTATTCAGTCCTGATCTTTAAAGAAAGACTTTTTGTAGCAGTTAGACATTCATCCAGTGTTGCAGCTGGCACAACTTTTGAGGCAGCTTTACAAAATTAGTTTTCACCTGCCCAGCTACACACTCCACACACGGTGTTTTGTATAAAACACAAACCTCTCCACCCATTTTTCTTAGACACTTTGTATTGCATTGTTTCACACAGCCACAAGATTCAGTTTACTTTTTTCTATGAAACATCTGGGCATGTGTGCACTAGAATCATGGAGGATATTGATGCTGGATTTTACTGTGGATCTAAATAACTGAAATGGTAAACATGTACCAGGTAAATTACTTTTTTGCCGTTGGCTGGAGCTTTGCTTTTGTATAGGAAGATTAGTCAAGACTAGCAGAAAAAAGGCATGTTAGGCCTTTGTGCTTTTTTGTAAACTTTTGATTTTTCTTTAGCTTTGTTCTGAGAAAAGTGTCTCTAAATAGCAGTTCCACTCAAGAGACAGGGCTTAGCAAGCAGGTTTCTTGACTGATAGGCAGTTTATTTTACCATGAATTTTCCTTACCAGTCAGGGATGTGCTGGAGGTATATGCAGTTAAACTTGCTGCCAGCTATCAGATGATAAGGGAGTATTTTTGATCCAGGTGAGATGAAGGGAGATGCAGTCAGTTGCTAACAAAAAAACTATGAAAAAACATATTAAAATTAAAACTAACTTATTCTGAAGTAAGAGTAGGTCATTTTATTGATAGCTAATGGGAAGTTAAAAATAACAGTAAAGAACCTTACTGGCAGGAAAAAGGGAATTTATAAAGGATCAAAGTGTTAGAAAATAGCATTATAGTTAAAAATCTGATCACAACTTTGGAAAGCAGTAATAGTAGTAAATTAACTGTTCATATGCAGGATGTTTTAGATTGTATACCAGACACAGTTAAACTGCTTTCCATCTTATATTTTAAAAATATTTGTCTCAGTATAGTCCCATGCTAGTTGGTAATTCCAGCTATTTATAACAGGGGTGCCAAAGATATGGCCTAGCCCGTTGAACCACATTAACCGGCTGCTATTGGCATTTTTCTAAAACGTCATGCAGAGACTGGATTAAATCTAAAAGAGCAAAATAGTAAAATGAGAATTTTTAAATAAGACCATTATGTAGTTTTCCAGTGGTTTTTAAATAACATAAATACAATAACAGACATTCAAATGATTACATTAATTGTCACTGTGGGAAGGAAATTACAAATTTCTGTCTCCTAGATCTGAGTGGGAAGGCTTCAGAATATGGCACTACTAAAAATGTAGATTCCAAACTAATAACATTTTGTGCACATAACTGGGATGACTGGGTGGTGTATTTAAAGCTGATCTTATATAAAATCCCTATATTGAAGAGTGTTGGCACAAATCTGAGTATCTACTAGGTTATTCTGTAGTCTGGCAAAGAGCTACTACTTTGGTGCCAAATTTTCAGTCCAATTTTGCAGACTCACTCCTGACTACATCCACAGAAATGGGAGTGCTCAGGCCCCCATACATACATATGCAAATCAAGCCTCATTGTATGTGCAAGTAGCTGTTTGTCCTACTTTTGTAGGATCAGTATGCAAAAGTAGATGTACTCAAGCATATACCATGGATTGAACATTTAGGTAGTTCTCAGTGATCACAATTTCAAACATATGAAACCTGCCACCACATCCCAAACTGCAGCTGAATCATATGAACATACTAGCCCAGGCAGAAGGATGTTAATTAAGTTTATTTCCTCTTATTCACAGCCCTTGCTACTCTTTTAAAAAGGAGAGTCAGTCAAACATTTTGAAGACTAATGTCAACTACACTTCGTGAGAGACCTTGTGCTCTCACAGCTTGCCTTTTCCTCTGCTTGATTCCTCAGTGAATCTTGAATTGAACATCACCACATTCAAAGTTTCCAAGGCAACAGAATAAGAGAAAACACGCAAGTTTAGCTTCTTTACTGAGCCTGGTGGAGGATGTTTTAATAGGAGTACAAACGAGCATCACCATTTCAAAGGAAAAACAGTCTTACAACAAGAGTGAATATGACCCAAAGTCATTTATATGATACATTCTTAATGTATTTTAAAACATACCAAAATATATACTAAGCAAAGTATATAGCTTCTGTTGAGAAAATGCACAATGCTTGATGCTTCAGTGAGCAAAGAAACACTTCCAACACTTTGAAATACACTGGCCTTGCTCAGTTTATATTCTGGCAATGTTTTAAGATACATAATGAACATATACAAAGAGCTTTGGGCTAAATTCACTGTTGTTGCAAGAATGCAAAAATCTGTTGCACTTAATACTGGTGCGTCAAAGGAAATACAGAAAGTGACTGCCCCAAAAACAATGTGCTCTGCCAATCTTCTCTTTGTTTAAGTTTTCTCCATTCTGAAGTCTTTTCTTACCACTGATTTCATTTGCAGTCTAATGAGACTGAAGAGTTACTCTTTTGGGATTACCAAAAGTTATTTCAAGTGGATTTGCTTTTTTGCAGGATGACATTCAGTTACTGAAGGATTTGAAAGTCCATTACTATCTGCTCTCCATGTCATGGCCTCGCATTCTGCCTACTGGCATCAAAAGTAAGCATAGCCATTTAACTAGAAACCTAGAAGTAAGGATGACAAACTATTTTCCTCCAGTTAAGAGTGTCATAGACATGACATTGTATATGTTACACATTACTGTTAAGTATTTTTCTGCTTGCATGGGTTCTCATAGTGCCATCTATTATATCACAGCAAAGGTCCACTTTGAGCCTACCAGCCCATTGAGCTAGTGGAAGGGTGTCAAAGATATGGCCTAGCCCGTTGAACCACATTATCTGGCTGCCAGTGCTGGCTTCCGTGCGGGACCAGTCTGGGACCCCTCACATGCCAAATTCGGTGCTCACACTGCAGGAGGGATAGGGAGCTCCATGTGTCCCCTGCATGCTAGATTTGGCACCCGCTCCAGCCAGCCCTGGACCAGCATTACATGCAGTGTTTCCCTCTAGTTTATATATTAAGTTCTACAAAATAATTTTCAAAAATATTTTCCAAACAAGCTCTACCACAACAAAAAACTCAGACAAGCTCTTCAATATGTGTTTTCACAGCAGAAGAAGTAAATGAAATGGGAATACAATTCTATAATGATACAATTAATAGTCTTCTGGAGAACAACATTATCCCTTTTGTGAGCCTCTACCACTGGGATCTTCCACAGGTCTATGAATATTTACATTTTTCATGTTTAATCCAATATTTCCAGTAAGAAATGTGTGTGTATAAATAAGAAATGGTTGGAATACTAAAACAAACCAATTTTAAACATTCCAGTATACTTTCAAATGTATGCAGAACTGGTTTGTTATCTGTTGCATTTTCATCTTCATCCTGAGATAGTGAACTCTGCCTCATTCACACTACTTATTAGGTGAATTAAATCTTTGCAGCGCATGTCATTGTCCAGTGTATAAAGTTATATACCAAATAAACTTTATCAACAAATAATGGTATATTGTATTTTAAAGAATATACATGTTAAGCCTTATAATTATTATTTATTCAGGCACTCCAAGAGAAGTATGGGGGCTGGCAGAATGCAAGCCTAATAAATTACTTTAATGATTATGCAAATCTGTGCTTTGAGACTTTTGGTGATCGTGTGAAATACTGGATCACTTTTAGTAACCCTTGGGTAAGTTACAGATATCATCTTTCCCACTGTTTTGAGTGATGTACATTTTTGTTTCCCAAATTTTTGGAATTACCCTATAGTTAAAATTATTTTTGCTATAGGCCGTCGCTGAAGAGGGCTATGAGACAGGAAAACACGCACCAGGACTGAAGCTCAGTGGAACTGGGGCATATAAAGCAGCTCATCACATAATTAAAGTAAAACTAGAAAATGTTTCCTCATTTATTATTTAATATTTTATGTCTGAATTAAGCAGGGCATGTGCATGCAGTCATCTCTCCCCTTCCCTCCCCAGGAAAACGTCTGCTAAAAAAGTATGAATTTCTGAATAGCATATTTAAAAGCATCCAGTAATTAAATCTAAACTATAAACTACTAGCATTGAAAACAATAAATAAAGACATTGTAGTGGCTGCATTATATAGCACTCTTCTGCAACATTTGAGATTTTTTTAAATTATTATTTTAGATATGGCAAAATTGATCCAAAAAGGCCATATTAAGGCAGCTTCTAAAATTAAATAGGTGAAATCCTACCCTATAAAAGTGAATGGGAATTTTACAACTGACTTTAGTTACACCAGGATTTCACTAGAATGAGAGGCTTTTCCAGAATTTAGTTGTGATTCAGACACATGCACAGACTCCTTGAACTGGAGTGTGTCACCCTCACAAAGCTGTCAAGAGGTTTGTGAAGAATTTTTGTACTGGTGCTGTAGACTTTCTACAGAAAAGCTTCCATAAGGAAGAGAAAAAAAAGTTTTGAAAATCCTAATAATGTAATAAATTCTCAAACAGGCGTTGGTGTGACAAGTTTCCCCTCGGTTCTTCATTGGTTTTTGGTACTGATTTCTGTATAGTATGCTAGTGTGCGTGTGCGTGTGTGATATAACACGTGTGTGTTCTTTTACTTACAGACTCATGCAAAGGTCTGGCATTCTTATGATAAGACATGGCGCAGGGAGCAGCAAGGTAATAAGCATGCATGAAATTATGTCTCTATTTGTAGCAAGGATTTAAAAGATTATGCCCAACTGCAGAACTGTCACTTTTTACTTTAAGGGATGGTTGGAATTTCCTTAACTAGTGCCTGGGGTGAACCTATGGATCTAAGTAACCAAGATGACATAGATGCTGCTGAGAGATACGTTCAGTTTTATTTGGGATGGTTTGCAAATCCTATTTACAGAGGAGACTATCCAGAAGTTATGAAAGAGTATATAGGTAAGACATACTGACTATTTAATAGCTTGAATACTGTTGCAATTTATTATGGAAAAAATTAGTCAAAGTTGATTATATGATTTTGGGGTATATTTAATTAAAAAAATTGTAAGGATCCAATAGTACTTGCTCTTCAAAGTATGATTATTCCTATTAATCAAATAGGAAAACAGAAGAAAGTAGGGAAGTGATGTGCCCAAGGAAAGCAGCAAAATACCTGACTCCTTGTCCTGTGCTTTATAGACTGGGTTTTTCAAAGGAGACAGTGAATTTCAGGTACCCAACTCAGAATTTCTGAGGCTCCTTTGAAAATCCTGGCTTAAATGACTATCTTCTCAGTCTTAGTTTACTTCATGTAACTAGAAAAGAGGCAGATCCTTGTGTTAGAAAAGAAAGCAGTCATCCAAGATCAGTATTTCAAGCTAGGAAAGTTTAGTTGTGTTGGTGGTGGGGTAAAGAAAAGAACAATTCAGTTGCATGGAAGACACTGTTACCATCATTTAACAGCTCTCCTTTTTAAAATTATTTGATAGGTAGAAAGAGTGCCCAACAAGGCTTGGGCTTGACAAGATTACCAATCTTCTCAGCACAAGAGAAAAGCTATATTAAAGGCACATCAGATTTCCTGGGAATAGGTCACTTTACTACTCGCTACATTACTCGGAAGAATTATCCCTCCCTGCAAGGTCCCAGTTACTACACCGATCGTGATTTGCAGGAACTGGTAGACCCAAAGTGGCCAAACCCAGGATCCAAATGGTTATACTCTGTGCCTTGGGGATTTAGAAGGTTACTCAACTTTGCTAAGGTAATTTTAGACTAAGCCTTCTTTAAAAGAAATTAATTCTGTTTTAGACAAGCGTATAAAATGTTTTTTCATGGTCAACCGCGAAAATCCAAGACCTCCAGCATTTTTACCAGACTATAGGAGCCTTGTTCCTTGCCATGTACCTACCTTTGGAAAGGGCCATAATGTTAATTGGTATCTGTATGCAATGCTGTAATAAGAAGTGTTAATTTTCAATGTGTGACTACACTGTTCTTTAAAAGTAACTGTGCTGAATATGTAAAATTAGAAGCAGTTTGCTAGAAATGTAGTGTTTTAGAAAAATAAAATTAAGTCTGGTTGTATGAAGTACAACTTTCCAATGTCAATGTGTATCTGTGTTTGCAGACACACTATGGGAACCCTCTGATTTATGTGACAGAGAATGGGGTTTCTGAAAAGATATACTGCATTCAACTATGTGATGAATGGAGAATGGAATATCTGAAAGGGTATATTAATGAGATGCTGAAAGGTGAGCTTTAAATAATAGCCTAAAGCACAATTAAACTTGCTTTCTAACATTTTCATATTCTAAACGTTTACTCCTCTGAAGTACATTGTGTTTAATATTGTAACAGCTTATCAGCTTCCATGCCGCTGCCATCACCACCCTTACCGTGTTCCATGTCAGAGCCACAGTCCTGACATAAAATACGTTGGGCAGCAGTTCCAGCTCCAGCATGGGGCATGCGGTGCACACCAATAGTCAGAGCCACCACAGCTGCTGCAGCCACCCCATGCTCTGCACTGGAGCTCTGGACTGGATCCAGCCCACAACCAGCCCCCTCTGCATTCAGCCCAGGGCAGGAAGTGAGTTTTAACACCCCTGATCTAGACTAAGGATAACATTATCCAAATTGCCTAAGTCCCATTAACTTTCAGTTAGACTTAAGACCTTTAAAAATTTTATCCTGCCACTTTTTCCATCCTTTTTTTGGTATAAAACGAGCATGATTGATTAGTACCATGTTTGTTAAACAGCACTGCAAATTTAACAAAACATTTTAAATCTATTTTCAGCGATAAATGATGGAGTTAATGTTAATGGGTATACTGCCTGGTCTCTACTGGATAAATTTGAATGGAATAAAGGTTTCTCTGAGAGATTTGGATTCTACCATGTTGATTTTCAAAATAAGAACAAACATCGACACCCAAAGGCATCTGTTCAGTACTACAAGAAAATCATAAGTGCAAATGGGTTTCCAAATCTAAGACAGGTAAGGTTAATCATTAACTCAGTTTATTTTTAATTTATGGTCAAAACCTACACTGAGTCTGATATCAGATCAGTTACATTACCTTTGATCCCCCTCATTGCAGACCACACCTCAGGAACAGCAGCCAGGGACTTTTAAATTTCTAATCAGATAAGAATTCACACCCCTCCCTTCCCCTCTGTACTAAATCGCATGTCCAAGTCCCTTCCCCTATCTGCTGTGCCACTATCTCTGGCTGACCTGCAGGATGGGGTGTCCCAGAGCCCTCTCTACTTCTGTCGCAGGACCCACCTGCTGCCACTTCTGCCCCCTCCAGCAGGGCCAAGGAGAGGCTGCATGGGGAGCCAGATTTGATTGGAGACACTGGCAGCGGCAACAGATTCCCCTCCCTGCTCCTGGGCTGGCAGGCAATACCCAGGGAGATTAAAAGAGAATAAACCCCCTCTGGATCCACCCCTGATTCTTAGATTACAATAGTGTACCTATGTATTTAATTCAGGAATGTGTCAACCTCGTATAAATGAAAGCTAATCTTGGATTACTGCTCCTTTACTATGGCTGTCTGGTATGATTAAGAGGTTTGCAGATGAAACAAATGCCCTCCCCGCCTTCCCCAGCCTTTGGTGATCACAAAACCCAAAATATAAATTTTCCTGTGTTAAATGGTCTTTTAATCTTTACAAACAAAGTTTTGTTTTAAATATACAATACACTCTGATTGGCAACATAAAAAAATGAAAAATCCTGAAATGTAACAGGCTAAAGCTCAGATGCAGTTGTTGCTGTAAAACTAAATATATTTAAAGCTGAATCACCATTATTAATATGATGTCAATTTTGTTAGGTGGAAAGTTGGTATTACAAGGCCTTGGAGACTTGTTCTACCACAAACCAACTAGTTTCTGAAGGTAATTATATTTATTCTGCTTTACTCATTTGCATATTTTGTGAATTTAGAGGCCAAGCATTTCCATGACTATTACTATGTCAAAACTGGGCCCTAAAAAAACCTCTTCAGAAGACACAATTATTTGATAGTTACTATAAGCTTTAGGGTCAAACAAAACTGCCTCTATTTGCTGCCAACAGTTGAAATTGATAAGAGATCCTCATTTTTGTTGGTTTTGTTTTTTAAGAATTAGAGTGAAATCTCTGTCGAAGTCCTAGCTATTCACAACTACAGGTTTCCCTCACTTTATGCAGTACCTGCGCTCCTGGAAAACTGCGCATAACTCAAATTCGCAAAAAGGGAACCCAGTTTATAGGTTAACAAATAGGGATACATGGTTAACAAATAGTTCCCATGGCAGGGAGGGAGAGAATGGGTCTGGGGTTGGAGCTAGGGAAGGGGTGGGGGACGGGCGCCGCACAGCCCAGTGGCTGCAGGCAGGTCGGGTGGGCAGCTCCCAGGACTGCAGCAGGGAGCAAAGTGGAGGGAACTGTCAGTGTATGCAGGGTGCAAGATGTGGGGGGGACACGCCTCTTGCTGCTACACACACCCTGAGAGAGTTGGGGACTGGGGGGCTGCACCAGGCATGTGCCCACAGGTCTGTATGCAGGACGAGGCAGGCTGCTGCAGGCTGGGGCCAGCTGTGGCACCAGGCTCTTGCCAGCGGGGGCTGGGCCGTGCTGCTCTCGGGGCAGGCAGCAGTGGTGCTGGGCAAGGGCCGTAGCCCCCCCCCAGCCTCCCCTCCCTGCGCCACCCTGCCCACCCCAAGCCCCTGACCCCTGCTGGGAAAAGCCGGGTGCTGCTGCTGGCCCCAGCCTACAACGGCAGTCTGCCCTTGTCCCGCACACAGATCTGGGGAGACACCCCCCCCGGGAAAAGCCCGCTGCAGCCCGCCATGGTGCACATAGCAACAAGAGCCGCACCTCCTCCATCCCGCACCCCACACCCACTGACAGTTCCGTCTGCTTTGCCCCCTGCTGCAGCTGCCCCAGGAGCTGCCGATGCCACCTGCGTGTAGCCACTGGGTTGCACCGTGCCCCTTCCCCTACAGATTTTACCTCACATATAACCAATTTACCTTGCATGTAATGAATGGTGTGCAAAAACGGTAATCGCATAAGAGCGAATTCGTGTATACAGAACCCTGCATAAAGCGAGGGAAACCTGTAATATTAGGGATATAGTGAGAAGTGGATTGCTTGCCCTTTTAAAAAAATAAAGGGTGAATTCAAAACAAACAAAGCCAGGACAGTTACGAAGCAGGAAAATAAAGCAAAAAAATCTAGCTTCTACATAATGAACCACACAAATGGAGAGTAGGACTTCACAGTTCAGGTGGACTGAAGTTCCTGAAGGGGTAACAAAGGCATTTGACAATTCCTGAAATTGAAGCAATATGTTTAAAATAGATTTTTTTTAAGGAAGGGTAGGATGATAGGTAAAGTCTGCCCATGTTGTAAGGTAGGATTAAGCCAAGAGTGTTGAACACATCTGACCCTGTAGGTTGAATGAATGGTGCAGGGCTGGTTCAAATGCTGCATTTGACCCATGGGCCTACCCCACATGCCTGATTCAGCAGAAACACCAGTTACTTTAGGACACAGCACCCACCCCAGCTGGTCTGGGATCAGCATTGTATGCAACATGTCTTGGACTGGCTGGTACAGGTGCTACGTGCACTGTGGATCCCAGAGCAGCTGAAACGTGTGCCATGTGCAGTGCAGTCTGGCTAGGGAAGGCGTCACATGGATCATGGACTAACCAAAACAGGCACCATGTACAGCATTTGTCCTGGGCTCTGTGTGCAGGGCTGGTCCAGCCCAAAAACTCAAACCCAGGGGCAGCGCTGGAGGCCAGATGGCAGGGCTCTACAGGCCATCTTTGACACCCCACCAGTAAACTATGAACAGTCCAAATTAGGTAAGTGCATCTTGCAAAGCATCCATGAATGGAAGTCATATATGCAGCCCCCTGTGAAATAATACATTAGTCAGAAGCGTACTACTTATTCAACTCCAAGGGCTCCTATTATTTTGTATCCTGTATGCACTGCAAAACAAATTGTAGACTCACCCCCACATAAAAGTTGGCTTAGAACAGCTATATAATTTATACTTTGCAGGCAGAATACAGTCCTCAAAGGGTTGGGGTGCTTCCCAAAGTCCTGCCTTTGACAATTTTCTCCCCTCCTAAAAATTAGAGGAACAGCATAATATGTTGCTAATATACTAAGCTAATTCATCGTATGCACAAACAACTTTTGTGTCCTCTGAGCGCTAAAAATGAGAAGAACCTGGCATGGACTTGTTTCAGATTATCAAAATGTATAAAACATCTTAGTATTAGAATTTTTTAAAATTGGTATGCTAATGCCAATGTAACACAGCTATCAGTTGGTAACAAAACATATTAGCTTTATACAAAACTATGTCCAAAAAGCAGATTCAAGACTGTTTAATTCTGCTAAAAATAAAAATGAACAAAATACTTTAAAAATGATTCTGTTAAAACAAACTTTTATCTGGTATTGTTTCTTTTCTCAAATTTCAGATCCTTTGACTACTCACATGGAAATGGTGACTGAGATTGTTGTGCCTATAGCTTTCACACTCTGTATACTTATCAGTGCCGTTTTACTAGTAATCCTCCTTCGGAAGTGCAACTAAAATTACAAGTTTACACACACTTCATTTTGCATAAGTAATAAAATGCCATGGTAGTCTTGCATAGTTTTAAAGGGTTTCCACAGATGCCTTCTTTTCATAATGCTGTAATGACAAAGAAATATGGCTTTTGTATACATATTGATGCTTCTATATTTTATTCACTTTCATCCCCCAGACATAATTTAGAAATGTTATCAAAACCAATGCATCTGTTTCAGTATTTTTTAATCAAAATTCAATTAGAGATTTTATCTTGAACGTTTTGCAAAACATTACACGTGTTCTTCACTAGGAAAACAGTTGGCCAAGATGAAATTTATTCAAACCTTTCCAGATTTCAAGGGTAGGCAGACTGAAAACAGAACTTTTGAACAATCTGTTCATCAATACACTTTTTAATTATCATGTAAGTGCTGTTTTAAAAAAATGAGGACATGGAATATTTACAGAATATAATTAAAAAAATTAACAATGGTTTAAACATTAACTAAGTCATCTTTGCATCCTTACAAGTAAGGCATGTTTTATTACCCAAATTTTTATACTTTGTGAAAAAAATTAGATATTAAATGACTCATCAAAAGCCAAATATGGACTTGTATTCAAAGCCAGGACTAGGAATCCTGATCTCCAATCTAGTGCTCAAACCACCAGGACCTTCTTCATGATATATCTTCTCTTCAGAATCACTAAATCACTAAATTCAGTCCTGCTGTAAGCAGGGACAGCTTGATAGGAGGCACCTGCATACAAAGAACTGTTATTGCTTCCAGCATATGGTGAGTAACCTGCCATTGGCAAATCTGAAATCATTCCTGCCAAAAATGATATCAAGCTTCATATTCAACTTTCCCTAAGATTCCTTTAGTAAACCACCACAGGTGTGCATGTCAAATTCTAAGGACAGTTGTGTGTTAAAAATAGGCATATTTAGTGCATCCTATATTCAAGCAGGGTGGATAAAAGAGAGGACTTAAAAGACCCAGATTTAAACTGGAACTTTTAAATTAAAATATTAACTTTGTTTAAAAATTATATTTGAATGTATAAACAATCTATATTACATATAAGCATACTATGTTCTTTTGATAGCTTAATATTTCATTAATTCATGGAGTCTTCTTGAGCTTTAATTATTTTTATATAATATATTTTTGCCTGATTATATTACTCATTTTTTAAGATCGAACTATGTATACATGTGCTACAATCTTATTTTCATGACAAGGGAGTGAAAGCTGGTCTTTATTTTTTCTTAAATGTTAGTAAAACTCGTCTCCAGTTATTCAATAAACATATACTTAGGGATGTGAAAGGTTAAACGATTAATTGATAAGTGTAGTGATAACTGGTTAGCTTATGGGTTATCTTTTAGCCTGGATGGGTACAGTCTAGGTAAGGGGAGGGGGAGGAATGCCTGCTGTACCCCAGCAGAAATCAGAGGGCAGTAGGGCAGGCAGAAGGGAGAGGGGGAGGAGTCAGGAAGAGAAGGGGAGAGGGGCAAAGGGGACTAGTACCCATAGCCTTAGTGGAAAACAGGGAGCAGCTTAATGACTCACCAATTAAGCAATTATCTGCTGGTTCTCAGGTGGTCCCTCCCTCCCAGTGCAAGGCTTCACACAGTGTTGTCTGGCTGGGCTTGCCTCCTCCCCACCCTCCCCCAGTCAAAGGGTTTGGGGAGTGGGGAGCAGCTCCCAGCAGCAGCTGTGTCAGAACTGTTATTTAATCAATGAATTGTTTAACTGATATCATTAGGAGGAGGTTAAACAAATATTTTTAAATGATATTTACAACCCTAGTTACACTATATAATTACTTAAATGTATGTTCTCTGGTTAGCATAGAGTAGTATCATATGTAATGTAGAGGCTATATTTAAACACAATTTAAATCAATCCACCTCATATTTAAGAAATGTTGAATTTGGAGTGGATGACAAAAGCAACTCAAAAATATAAAAGCAGTGTCAGGAAAAAAACCAAAGTATTTTAATGTAGGTTATATAAGTAGTGAAAGAATAACTCTCCAAATAGGTCTGCTGATAGTTCTATCATGTGCCACTAGAGAAGATGTGATAATATTGTCTGATCTGGGTCTGTTGCATTGCTCCAAATTTGAATCTTTGCTCTGTTGTGTTCTTAAGCAATGAAACAAAAATTTTAAAACATGTATAGAAGGAAGAACATTATTCAAATAAAAGTTTTTAAAAAATGTATAAAGCACAAGATAGCAACAGTTGCTTTTAAAGGAATTATACTGTATGTTTATTTTAAACAAATAGTTGTATATTATACAATAAACAAATGGTACATGTCCTGTAGAACTGCAGCTGTATATGTTGCATCTTAAATACACTACCACAAATAAATACCAAATGAATGGGAGGCAGATAAGCTGAAATTCTTCCATTTACTTCCACATACTTTATAAGCATGTTTGTTCAGCAGCATTCTTTCATGTGAAATGCACGTGACTGGACTTAGCTATTGCAATAAAATGCACTCTTTCTTCACTGCTTCCATTAATTGTTGTATCACAAAGAAAGCCTGCAGTAAAAAAAGAAATTAAATGAAAACATGGCAGTCTAAAAACAACAGATCATAGGGAAAGTTTGACAAAACTTCAAGAACGTCTTACAAACACGAAGTTCCACTAAAGTTGATAGGCAATGAAAATTTATTTTGTAATAAAAGAAACAATACCTTCAGGGATTATCAAACATACAGCCCATGGGCTAGATCTGGCCCAGGGAACCTCGTGATCTGAAAGGTGGGTCTTGGACCCGGCACTCCATGTGCTGTTCACAGCACAGGGGGCTGGTCCGGACTGTGAGCTGTATGCGTGCTTACAGTGGGCCAATCCTGTGCACAGGCTAGTCCAAACTGGGCTGTGCCAGAGCCAGCATGCAAAGCTGTCTGGCAGGGTGCCCCAGGCACTGAGTACCCCACGTTGGCCCCATGCAGTGCGAACAGTGCCCCCAGCACTGGGTCCAATTCATGCTACACATACACCACACGCCAGCGCTGCTCTGGGGCTTGTGCTGCCTGCAGGGCACAAACTGGACCTCAGCGCACGAGCGCTGCACACGGAACAGGGGGCCAACACACATGGCTATCCATGTGGCTCCAGCACACATGGATAGCCTGGCACCTGATCCTGACGGGCCCTGGAACCAGCTCTCAGGGCTGTCTAGTGCGGCGCCACATGCAGCATGTGCTTTCAGCTGACCCCCTAGCTGCTTGTGGTACTTGCAGTGCCAGGTCCGAATCATGCGTTACTTGCAGCACAAGCCCCAGAGCAGGGCCACCATATGCCAACTGTGGCAATGGAGATTGCACTGCACGTGGCACCCCACCAGACTGGCCCTGTCTACTGGTTCCAGTGCAGCTGGATCCAGCCTGCAGACTGGCCCAGAGACCCTCAACCAGTCTGCAGGGCCAGATGAGTTTGACTCCCTAGTGGCATTTAATCTTCTGGCTCCACAAGCTAGAGATGCATGCAAGGACAATCCACAGCCCGGATCCCAAATGTGGGATATTTATACAGCCCTGATCCAAGACTAGATCTGAATACCTGCTTGCCAGCGTGATCTTGTACATAGGGCCACAGCATCTGGGCCTATGGGACTCAGCACAGATCTGGAAATGTGGCAGCAAGGCAGCTGCAATTAAACACTGCCATGGGTCCCCTGCTGCCCAATTTCTGGACCCGTGGGGAGACTCATGGGCCAGATGACATGTTGTTGTGGGCCAGAGGTTGAGCATCACTACCTTATATCGATAAGAAGGCTTGCCACCATTGTCAGACTAACAAACAAAAGGCCAAATGACACATTTGGTCTGTACAGGAGAATGGGGTTTGAAAAATATTTCAGCATTTATGTAAAACAATCCTATTGAACAAGTTACTAAACAACCATTTAAATGAATTTTCCCTTCAGGTTTCAGTAGAATATTAAAAAATTATAGGTAGCTCTGAAAATTTTGTACCTCTGATGGATACAAGTAAGATATAAAGATTATTTTAACTGGAAGTCCACTTTCATCTGTTTACATTGTACATTCAGATGCACTTTGTTTCACTTTCACTGGGCATTTGTACACAAGCTTGCGCCACATCATCGCATGCATTTGTATAACTGGTGAAATGCACGTCAGCACTGAGAAAGTGGCAGCAGCGCGCTTTTGAACTAAAACACAAAGATGTTTTAGTTCAGAAGTGCACCACTGTCATTTTCTCAGCCCTGATACACATTTCACCATTTATACAAATGCATGCAGCACAGCACCAGGCACATCAGGTTGTGGGCGCCAGATCTGCAGCATGTCGGAGCAGACAAATGTATGTGTATAAATGCCCATTGTTTATATAAAAAGTTCATTTGTCCCTTCCTGAAGAGACTGATAAACAAGGAAAATACAGTATATCCTCCTTCAAGGGTGCTGTTTAAGAAACTTGATTTAAAAATACAAATTAAAATATTAAAAGTTGGCCGTGTCCCTTTAACCTTTTCCCATATAATAAATGGTGCCTTACCTAAGTTGTTTACAGTCATATGTTCAACTGGAGCGCTAGTGCTAAATTGCCATGTTGTTTTAATCTCCCTTTGTCCATGTCCACTACTTATTTCCACCCTCCATATCTGTGGGTACTCACTGCAGGAATCAAACAGCACAAAAATACAAATGAACAATTATGTACTCAGTCATGATCCAAAATTTCAGTATTGCAAGACCTGAGGTATGGCTTACTTTTGATAGAACTTATTGACTACTGCTGGCCTCACTGGAAGTTGGAATACGTGTTTCTCATCCAGAGGGTTTTCCTTGTAATATTTTATGCAGGACCTATAATAACAAGAATTAAATATTGTTTCATAGATTTATAGATTCTAGGGTCGGAAGGGACCTCAATGGGCCATCTAGTCCGATCCCCTGCCCCCAGCAGAAAAGAAAAGGGTCACCAAACCTGGGATCATGTCATCCCAGACAGATGCCTGTCCAGTCTCCTCTTGAAGACCCCCAAGGATGGGGC